TATGAAAACTCACCTGTGTTTTCTTCCAGGGTAAAATTTCAGGTATTATCTTTTTATTTTATTTTTCCCCTGATGAACCGAAGCTGGGACTAAGAAATAAACTATTGGGGTTGAAGAAATGAGGAGCTTTTTAAAGACAGCCACCTACATAACTCCCCAGTTTGAATAAAAAGAGTTGAATATACAAGATTACAGCAAACTGAGTTGCTGGAAGCCACTGGCCCCCTTTATAGCACCCCCAAACACGCAAACCCTTGAGGAGCACACCAGCAACTCTGCATTACAGATGTCACTTTTGCTTTCCTTTAATGAGTTTCAGGGTCAAGGCAGATGAGAACTGTTACTCGAGTGAGGTATGTAAATATTTGCCTTCCTGCACGGTGTTAATACCTAGGTAACAAAGTTTGTATGCCATTAGCAACAGGAACAACCACATTATGAAGACTGACACAAGTCCCTTGATAAATGCTTCTACAATGAATGAAGAAATTTTATAACTTAGATATTGTCTAGTCCAACCACTCAAGTTAGCCAAGGTCACACTGTTGGAAGAATTAAGAATCAAGGTCCTCAGTCTCAGTTCAGTGATATTTTTCACTACGGTGGGCCAGCTGAAGGGATGAAATTTCCTCCTCTGCCTTTTATTCTCATTCCTAGATACCACTACTCTAGCACCTGACCACTACTTATTCCGTGTTTCAATGTGGAGATTTTTCCAATAAGATTATCTCAACCAACTCTATAGCAAACTTTCCTGTCCCACCCTCCTTTTTAGAGGCTCTCTTCAATTGGACTTTCATGGTATAAGCCATTCAGGTATTTCCACTTCCTCTCACTGTCCTTCATCTCCCTACTGCCCTCTTCCCGTGGGCGCTTCCCAAGACTCCATCTTCCACTCTGCTCTTCAATCAACAACCTCCCTGTGACTGGTTCCTACAACTTGTGCCCTGACCTCTCTGAGCTCCAGATTCAGGTCTCCAGGTATTTCCTGAATATTTTTCTGTTCCTATCATCTCAAACTCAGTATGTCCAAAAGAATATCATCTCTCCTTCCACATATTTTACTCAACTTCCCAAGAGTATCACCACTTTTCCATTCATGCATGTTCAGAACTTGAGTCATCTGACTCCTCTTCTACCTTAACCCTGTCCTACTGACTTTTTAAAAATTCTTTGTCCTCCTTTTTGAACTCATTTTTCTTTTGGTTCTCACAAAACTTCCATACATTAAATTTTCATCATCCTCTCAACCAGTCTCCCCACCTCCAACTCATCACCTTCTTTCTTAAATGTCTACTTCATCCTGTTAATTTGCTGTCCAAAAAAATCTTTCACTTAAACTAGGATCTTCTCTAATTAGGTGGGTCTACCCCCTATTTTCCCACTGTATTTTCTCACTCCTCTGCCCGCACACAATAAACCCAACAGCTGGAGTACACGTTTCTCTAATTGTCACCTGTTCAAATCCTGACTGCTTTCAATGATGGTTCAAGTCCAGACTCATCAATATAGCTTTACGTTACTGTTCTTGAATTTACCATCTATACACCGCAATCTTGGGTGCTCAACTGCTAATCACATGTTAACTTTCAAAATATACTTGTCTTCCTGGTATGGATGTAGGAACCACATCTTACATATCTTTGCTGCTTCTGGAAAATATCCCAATAGTTACATTATGAAAAAGGGAAGCATAGTAGTTAAGAGAACATGATTAAGGAAGTAGAAAATACTGAGTTTAGATCCTGGCTGCATTCCTTTCTAGATGGGTAACCTTGGGCATGTTACTTAACCTCTACAAGCTTTCATAGCTATAAAACAGAGATAATGCCACTTGTATCATAGGGCTGTTATGAAGTTTCACCAAATGCGTTTGTATGTGTATACACACACACACACACACACACACAATGTTTAACATGGTATTTGGTCCACAGTGAGTACCTTTTTAAATGATTTTTCCCACACTAGGCCCTCTTTGATCAATATTTTAAACTGCACAATCTACAGATTCAATGCAAACCCTATCAAAATTCCAAAGGCATTTTTCACGGAAATAGACCAAACAATACTGAAACTTGTATGGAACCACAAAAGACTCCAAATAGCAAAAGAAATCTTGAGAAAGAAGGACAAAGCTGGTGGCATCACACTCTGATTTCAAACTATATTACAAAGCTCTAGTAATCAAAACAGTATGCTACTGGCATAAAAACAGACACGCAGATCAATGGAACACAATAGAGAGCCCAGAAGTAAAGTCATGCTTATGTGGTCAATTAATGTATGACAAAGGAGCCAAGAATATACATTGCGGGAAAAGACAGTCTCTCCAATAAATTGTGTTGGGCAAACTAGACAGACACATGCAAAAGAATGAAAATAGAACACTATCTTAAACCATACACAAAAATTAAAAAATGGACTAAAGATTTGAATCTCAGACCAGAAACCATAAAACTCCTACAAGAAAACATAGGCTGTAAGCTCCTTGACATTGGTTTTGATGATGATATTTTTTTATCTAAAACCAAAAGCAAAGGCAACTAAAGCAAAAAAAAGAGTAAAAAAGCATGACTACATCAAGCTAAAAAGCTTCTGCACAGCAAAGTAAATTATCAACAAAATGAAAAGGCAACCTACTGAATGGGAAAAAATATTTTCAAATAATAAATCTGTTAATATCCAACATATATAAAGAACCCATACAACTCAATAGCAAAAAATCAAACAACCCGATTATAAAATGGGCAGATGATCTGAACAGACATTTTTCCAAAGACAACATACAGATGGACAACAAGTAAGTGAAGAGATACTCAATATCATTCGTCATCCGGGAAATGCAAATCAAAACAATGAGATATCACCTCACACCTTGTTAGAATAGCTATGATGAAAAAGACAAGAAATAACATGTGTTGGCAAGAATATGGAAAAAAGGGAAGCTTTCTGCACTGTTAGTGGGAATGTAAGTTGGTGCAGCCACTATGGAAAACAGTATGAAGGTTCTGCAAAAAATAAAAAATAGAACTATCATATGACCCTGTGATTCCACTTCTGGGTATTTATCAAAAAAAAAAAAAAAAGAAAACAATAACTTGAAAAAATATCTGCACCCCCGTGTTCATTGCAACATTATTTACAGTAATCAAGATATGGAAACAACCTAAGCGTCTATTGACAGGTGAATGGATAAAGAAAATGTGGTATGTGTACACACACACAAACACACACACACAATTATTCAGAGACAGAGGTGGGGGGACAAAATAGATAAAGGGAATCAAAGGTACAAAGTTCCAGTTATAAAATAAATAAGCCATGGAGATGTAATGTACAGCATGGCAACTTTAATTAATAATACTGTATCGCATATTTAAAATTTACTTAGAGAGTAAATCTTATAACTTCATATCACAAGAAAAAAAATTCTGTAACTATGTATGGTGACAGGTGTTAACTAGACTTATTGTGGTGATCATTTCACAATGTATACAAATATTAAATCACTATGTTGTATGCTTGAAGCTAATATAGTGTTGCATGTCAATTATACCTCAATAAACAGATAAATAAAATAAATAAAAATAAGCTGCAAAGGTCATGCTAAATAGTTTTTAACATGCTGTCAAGGTTCCAGTACAAATGAAGCTTTACACCACTAATCACTGTATTTAGTCAAAAAATTACTTTTCTAAGCTATATTCCAGAAGAGTAGGAAAGGCAACATTTAACTTTTTTTCTTTTTTTAAATTGGGGAATTGGGTGAGGGGAACACTGTTGGGGAATTGGACACGGGGACCAGCCAAGTTGCTGTTCTTCAATCTTCGTTGTGGGGTGCGCCAGTCGCCATCTGGCTGCCCATTGGCAGCTCATGGCCTCTAAGCTCAAAGTGCTGTGTTACAATCTTAGTTGTGGGTAGGCGTAGCTAACACCCCATGCAGGAGTCGAACCGGCAGCCTTGTTGTTAAGAGCGCATGCACTATCCACTGAGCCACCTGGGTGGCAGCTCAGCTCAAGGTGCCGAGTTCAGTCTTAGTTGTGGGTGGGCATAGCCCACCATGGAACAGGCAGTCTTGTTGTTAGGAACATGTGCTCTCACCAGCTGAGCCATCCTGCCACCTGTTGGCAGCTCAGCGGCAGCTCAGCTTGGGCACAGCGTCACTGGGCCATGTGGGAATCGAACTGGTGGCCCTGTTGCTCAGAGCTTGCGCTCTTAAGCTAACTCTTAACCAACTGAGCCAGTTGGCTGGCCCAACAATATTTAACTTTCAAACTGTCCAGCTGCCAAGACTTGGTGTCTAAAACTGTGCAAGATCAGTTTCATCCACATACATAACCCAATCCAGCATGATTTTCAGCAATCATCCTTTTACTAATACAATTAAAGCAGAGCTAAAGAATCTTTGGTAAGGCTGGACAAGCTTCCAGAAAACCCAGCCAATGTATAAAGACTCTTTATACATTGTGAGGCAGGATTGCTCGAGCCCGTCACAAACTGGAACTCAGTGATTAGCACCCGTAGCTAGCTTTTTCTGTGAAGAAGGGAACAACCTTCTCGTCAACCAACAAGGCAATTACCAACTATGATTAATAGCTTTAAAAAACACAATGAAAATAGTGCAATCTAGTACATTAAAAACCAACAACCTGGCCTTTGGTTGGCTGAGGTAATTATTATTACTTTTTTTTTCCCCTAATGAAAACAATCCCTTTCGACACCTACCGTCTTTTCTCCTTTGTGGAGCAGGTCACAACTTTCCCTGGGTTAAGTCATAATCAGATGTTATGCCTCCACTAAGGTCCCAGGAATTTTCCACCAGGAGAGGCTGCATCGAGTGGAGAGTCAATGCCATTGTCTCCTGCCTTGATTTGGGGACTCCCACACTGGTGAGCAGCCACAGGCAAGTGTCTACATCATTACCCAACTGCCTCCCTTCAAAATGCCTGGGGTCATTATTTCTGCACCCCCAGGAAGGGAAATTGCATGGCCTTACCGCCGACGTTAGGCGAGCAAGAATTTCATCGCTGCTTTCTTCTGAGTCTTCGATTTTCTGATGAGACCTTTGAAAGACAAAGAATGAATTACCCTTCAGCTTTGGTTGCTCAAATTTATCTACCAAGTTATGGGGAATACGTGGCAAATAATGGCATTATTGTTTAATCAACTGGTGAAAGTGCCCATGCAAATACCGTGGTGTCAATAAGGCCACGGGAACAGAGCTCTGTTGTAGCCCAACTGTTCCTTCAAAATCAGTTAGCAAGACCCTCTTCACAAAACACCAATGAAATTCCGAGGGTTGAGTGCTGTTCCCCAAATGATTTCACAGAACAATCCTGACACACCAGATTTACAAATATGAGCATGCACAAGGCATAAGTAGATGTGAATAGAAGGTGGTTAAACACTGAGATTCCCTCTAGCCTTAATGAAATCCAGATTTTGAACAGATGAAATGTGAATTTTCCACTACACTTGAGTTTTGGCCAAAACAGATGTATTATGAAATGGTCTATTATAGGCCTACTACTATGATAGGAATTATGTGGAATACAATAGCAGAAGAAGCCCTTTGTTCTTTTTTAAGACACCACAGTCCAGCTGATAAGCCAAGAAAATTATGCTAAATTATGCATGTGCTAAATAACTAAAGAAACATATAACATGTTACACAGTATAAGATCAGTTTGTCTAGGAAAATCACCTTTCCAATGTAATTCATGAAAAAATTTTCACTACACACACACACACACACACACACACACACACACACACTCTAACATATAAAATTATCTACTTCTTAAAACAAATGTTATAAAACTACATTTTTTCCCTGGTTTGGTCAAACAACAAAAAAAGAATTAACGCCAACTGAATATATATAATTGCCTCCCCATCTATTCCCACCAGCAATCCCTTTCAGCACCTTCTGGAGAACTGGAGGCGTTGGCGGTAATTGCCCTGCAGAGCAGTGTTATCAGGATGGCAGTGCGGTGATTGATTTCCATCTCAGTAACGGCAGTGGGCCAGCTGGAGCGCTAGTCTGTGGGTCAGGGGGGGTTTCTCCTGGCTCGCAGGAGAGCTAAGAAGCTCTTTAAGAAGGGAAAAGCTAGTCAGATCAATTCTGACATTGTCTTCCTGTTTCTGTACATGCTACTAAACTCTTTTATAGGAATAAAAAGGAAAAAAAGCCACAACCTAAGTCAGAGCAATGAATGACAAACTACTGCCTTTACAAGAATTGCAGGCTACAGGTAGGAAGCAGTGAAGCTTCATAAGTTATATCATCAAATAATTTAATTACTGTGCAGCAAAGTATTTGAAACGTTGGCTAATAATCTGCCCAAATAAAAACAGTGGGAACTGAGCAATTTAATTCTCTGTATTCTCCCCCAAAAGCAGGTTACCTTGATAATGAGTATTTCAAACAATGAGCTTTATTATTAAAACAATCTATTCACAAGTTTTCCCTATACATGAAGTTACACTGAGAGACTTGCAACCCTTTTTATAACCTGAGCCACCAAGCCAGGTTTATATGATTGAGCTGAGGTGACTGAACAGACCTGACAGGAAATTAAACGCCAAACGCACTAAGACACAAGAGCACAGAACAAGGGCCTCGACGCTCAGCCTGTGTCTGTAGAGATGCGTGGGCTGGTCGGGCCGTGTCATGTTTCTCAGACCCCAGCAGATACTTGAAGGGTGAGTTAATGGGATGAGGTATTTTGCACTACCACACATTCTGTCAAGAGTGTGTTTTCAACAAGCTGCTGAAAGAAACTCAAAATTCCAAGGGAAGCTCTTGGGTATGTGACTGATAATGGTTATTTCATGAGTAATGGCTGAGCAATTGCTGGTTTAGTGACAAACAATTTAGTCCCTGTTCAGAAGCAAAACTACCTTTCATCATTCTTCCAGCACAAAACACACCTTGGCAAAAAACCATTTCTAAAGGAAATGTGTGTAAGAAAGACAGAGTGATGATCTCCTGAGAGCCGCCCCGCAGCCCATACCCCGTTTTCATCACCTCAATCACCACGATTTATGCCAGAGATCCTGTCTGTCTCCAGCCCCTGACTCTGCCCTGAGCTCACCTTGTTTTCCCATCTGCCTTCAAAGTGGCTCGAGGGGGCAATTCCAGGGTATTTTCACCCACGTAGGGACCTTAGAGGCTCCTCAAACTCAAAATAACTTACACAGAACTGCTCTTGCATCCTGCCCTCACTGTTTCCACGTGGCGCCTCTCGCAGCAGCTCAGCTTCATGGCGTGGCCATCCCCTCCCTCCTGCGCTCCCCGCCTTTGCCAGGCCCCAGATCTTCTCACTTCTCTTCCTCAAGCTCTGTTTTCCCACTTCTCTTGCACAAATCTTAACCATCTTCTGACCACCTTCTTTATCTCTGGCTGCTCGTCTTGTGCTCAATTGCCTGTAGACAGCAGGATTATTATTCTAAAACCCAGATCAGGTCCTGCTACTCTCTAGACTCCAAACCATGAAAAATTACTCGAATGCCTCCTGAGAGCTCTAGAATTCAGAAATAACCTTCCCTTCTTAACATGCCCCGTGCCCCCCGGCACCAACAGGCACCGGCATCTCACCTGGCAGAAAAGAGGGTCTTGGGAGCAGAGCTGGTGGTAAATGGGCAAACAGTGGAAGAGCTTGGAAAGGGGGAAGGCGGAGCGGAGAGGAGTCATTACCCTCCTTCCTTTATCACCACCGTGGTCCCTCCCAGCTCAATGCCAAGCTGCCTAGAAATACCAGACTCTCTTTTCCCAGCAAATGCATGTTTACAAAATGTAGACTAATTGTGATTATTTTATGTATGTAAATACACATCAGGGCTATCCAGTGAAGACAAAGTTCTCATGTATCAGATCAAATAGATAATGAAACAGATGGGGCAAGGGAAAACAAAGAAAATAATCAATTGTAATACCTGCATATTTTCCCATTATCACCGGAAGAGGCTGTGCCACTCAGTGAACGAGAGAGAAAGAGAGCGGCTCTGAGTGCGGCTTGTCAGCGGTTAGAGAAGGGAAACCAAGGCTGGAATCAGCAGGTAATGGCAGTGACGAGTAGACATTAAGACAGAGAAGAGAAAAGCAGTGACCCCAGGAAGGAAGCCCTATCCCTGAGCGTTTGTGCTGGCAGCAAGTTCTGGCCCAACAGGCACTTCCCTTCAGGAGTTCCACGCTTCCCAACAGCCCTAGCCTGAACCCAGCAATTCTCCGAGGCAAAGTGCTGAGTCCTAGTGCTGTGGGACAATGTCTATAAGTTTGAGAGGTCTGCGATATGCAGGTGACGTTGTGAGGACACAGGATTGGCAAAAGCCTGTGGTCCTCTGCGCTTGTCCCTCTAACCATCAAACTGGACATCGTGATCATTCCACCTGGCCCCAGTGAAGAAAACACATAAATAAATAAATAAATCCCTGTCCTCCCAACAGTCTTCCCACACCTTAATTAATGGCAGGTCCACCCTTCCAGTTGGAAGTCATCCTTGAATTCCCCCAGCCTAACTGCCCACCCCCACTCCACACTGTATCCATTCTGAAATGGTATATCTACTGGCTTCAAGGTATATCTCCTATTTCACCACTTCTGCTATTACCACAAAATCCCAGCCACAAAATCTCCTACCTGGACTCAGGAGCCAGAATGGTCTTGTTAATATGTAAGTTAAATTATGCCCCTTCTCTGCTCAGATGATGAGAAAGATCCTCTATCTCCCTCAGCATAAAGCCAAAGCCTTTACAGAGGCAGGGGACGCCCTCGGGACCTAGCCTCACAGTAGTTTTCTTCTCTCTTCACTCTCCCCCAGCCACACCTGCTTTGTTTTTAATGCTTCTGCCTTGGGCCTCTGCACTGGCTGTCCACTATCTCTCATCGGAACCCCCCAGAGCCAGGCTGATGCTGACCTGCTCTGGACTGTTCAGTTTGGAGGGACTTGAGAGAAACACAATTTTTAGGATGGACTTCAGACTACTCCTGATGAAATTCTAGGGCCAAGATAAACTAACTATACAGGAATCTTTCAAACATGATTCCCACAACACATAAGAGATGCACACCACACAAATATATGGGGAAAAAATCGTAATATGTGAGAGGCTTCGAAAAATCTACCTTTAAGACGCTCTGCCAACACAAGTGAGAGTCACTTCACCTGATCTGTGATTGTCAGAGGCATCTTGGGAGAAGTGATAACCAAGGTGGGGTTCTGATACATAAGGAGTGGCCCTGGCGCTGCAGCAGGATTATCGGGACAAGCAAGTGGGGAAATAGCAAGAGATAAGGCTCGAGATAAAGCGAAGGCCACACCAGCCAGCGTCCAGTCTGCTATTGCTACAGAGTTTGATTTTGTGCTGAGGGCCATGAACTTGGGCTGTAAAGCGAAGGAGATGGATGAAAAAGTAGCTAGAAGAAGATATAAAACCAAATGTAGGTTTGGTTTATTGCTATTATAACTGAGAGAACCATTTGTTTGCTGAAGGAGAGCAGCCAACAGAGAATGAGAGACTAAGAAAGCAGGAATGAGAAGTCTCCAAGGAGGTAGGACCCACAGCTCAGGTAGAAGAATGAGTCTTGAGCTCTTCCTCCACCAGCCAAGAAGAAATGAAGTTAAGTCAGTTGAGGATACCAGAATTCCACATTCTCCTTGGGCCACCCAGAGTGCATTCCGTACCTACCGATTGTCAAGCAAGAGAAGGTATTCAGGGACTTTCTCCTTCAGAAATATTTCCTGGGCCAGATTTGAAATTTTTCTTCCTAAGAAATCATTGCCATCAAGTCCTAGGCACCACAAAAGGGAATGCTCCTCAAGGAACACAGACTCAGTCTCTACCACATCCAATACCTACTGAGCCCAAGAGGGTGAAAAAGGTGTCATATCTAACACTCAAGTACTGTCCCATCTATATCCTCCTATAACACCTATATTCTATTTTGCTTAACAAAGCAGGTTCCTATGACAAAAAGAAAACGTAGGATGGCAGAAGAATGAAAATCGAAATTTTATTGAGATCTTTCAGGTCATGAATACAAACACCAGTTAAATCTTCT